AAAAAAAAAAAAAAAAAAAGTTTGGGTGATCAGAGCAGTAATCTTCAGTCTTCTAGAACATTCTCCTGACATGGAACACTTGCTTTTCTTTCCCCATGAAAATCTGCAGGGGAAAGAAGTGCAGGAAAGGTAGGCCCTTGGGAATTATTTAGAAAGCCACGAGATGCAGGTGTTGAGGCGTAGGCAAGAAAGTAGGCTGGGAATCTCTCCTGCCCACTGCAGCCCCCAAGAGTCTCCAGGATAACCTGATCTTGTGACACTCAAGCCCCTCTTTAAGCCCTCCCACTGCTTTTTTGCTGCCCCTCAGATGAACACGCAGGGTCTTCCACTTGGCTCCCCAGGCCCCCAGCCCAGCCACATCTCTCACACCCCCCACTCACATACTCCTCGCTCTGCAACTGCACTGAACTGCTGTGTGACTTGAGTAAGTCTCTTTCCGTCTCTGTGCTTCAGTTTCCTTGCCTCTGAGATGAAAGCTTGGACTGAACCTCCTCCTTCAAGTCCCCTCCTGACCCAGAGTGACAAAGACCATAATGATTCCACTAACTTTGTTCCTTCTGTCCTTTCTCTTTGAAGATGACACCAAGTTGAATCCCTATGCAGGAGAAGACAGTGAGTACCAAGCGGCCTGCCCTGATTCATCAGACCCACCGCCGCTCGAGCCCACCCCTGAAGGGGTTGCAGCAGTCCCCTGACCTCTTTCTGTAGGGAAGGAGAGGAAGCAAGAATCACCTGAGTTTCCCAGATCTTCGGCTCGGTGGGAAGTCAGGGGCCCTCCTGGGCACAGGCCCCCTGACTTGAAGGAACATGTCTATACCCAGACAGTTCTTGTCTCAGCCATAAGCCTCCTGTGGTCCTTCCCTGGGCCTCTCTGCTTGACTATCCTTTTCTTTTTTTCTTTTTCTTTTTGAGTTGGAGTCTCACTCTGTCGCCCAGACTGGAGTGCAGTGGCCGCTCCCGGCCACCGCAGCCTCGACCTGCTGGGCTCCGGCGATCCTTCCGCCTCAGCCTTCCGAGTAGCCGGAATTGCCGGCTCGCGCTACCATGCCCGGCTGATTTTTTTGGTTTATTGTAGAGATGAGGTCTTGCCAAGTTGCCCAGGCGGGTCTCGAGCCTGCAGCCTCAGGCAATCCACTCACCTCAGCCTCCCAAAGCGCGGGATTACAGGCTGAGCCACCGAGCCCGGCTGAATATCCTTTTTTTTTTCTTTTTTGAGTTGGGCTCTCTCTCTGTTGCCCAGGCTGGAGTGCAGTGGCACACTCATAGCTCACTGCAGCCTTTCCTCCTGGGCTCAGGGGATCTTCCTGCCTCAGCCTCCCCAGTCACTGGGACTACAGGTGCGTACCACTATACCCAGCTAATTTTTTGATGTTTTTGTAGAGACAAGGTCTTGCCACATTGCCCAGTCTGGTCTCAAACCCCTGGGCTCAAGCGATCCTCCCACCTCAGCATCCAAAAGTGCTGGGATTATAGGCGTGAGCCACTCCGCCTTGAATATTCTGCTTGGAGAGGGAGGAAGAGGAGGGCTGAGCCTGGGCAGGTATAGGTGGGGCCCATGGCCATCGCCTCTGCTCCTAACAGCCCCAGGCCAGCGAGGAATGGAGAGTAGCTTCTCGTACATGGTGTCCTTCCATTCCCAGCCTGGGCTGGCAGAGAGCACACAGACTGTCCACCACAGTTTCTGCAGGGTGCCAAAGGTGAGATTCCCCGCCTCCCAGGATGACCCAAGAGGATGACCTCTCTGATGGGGGGAGAACCCCCACCGCCCCTGCCCTCTGCCCAGAACCCGCTCAGGCCCTTGCTGCAACCTGCAGGAGTGGAGGTGAAATCCACCCCCGCTTCTGGGGATGGTCATCTGAATGTCCAGAAAGAGAGGGGAGGTTATTAAGGCAGCACAGTAGGGTTGCACAACCCCCTCAGCAGAGATGGGGGTCATTGCTCCTCCGTAGGCAGCAGGTGTGAGCGTGTGTGTCTGCGTGTACAAATGTGTGAGGCAGTGGCCAGGACCCTAATCCCCTCGCTTGGCACCAGGTGCCCATTCGTGAAGCCCTCACCATCAGATCAGTAGGGTCACAGTGGACCACGGGAGGAGCACCAGCTGGGTCATGGGAGGCTAGTTCGGGGCAGTTGGCCTCAGTCCTCCCACTTTGGGGACAGAGACCCTGGCCATGCCCTGGAGTCCCCACGGTCGCTCCTCTCCGGGGTATCCTCTGTTTCCAGAGTGCCGAGAAGATGGTGACTTGGAATGCACATAATACCTTAAATGTCTTGCGTCGGTTGCCTCCCACCCGCCCGCTATGGAAAAAAGATTCAGCCTTCCTGCTGCTGACCTGCTCATCTGCTATCATCTCCACATTCCTCTAGGGTGGGGCGAAGAGGCAAATGGCCACCCCAGGTCATGTCAGGCAACGAGGCTTCTTAGGGGCTGGCACTGAATGTGTGTGTCCATGGGCAAATTGTTTAACCTCTGTATTTCCATGATGTCAGTCAGCTTCCAGCTCTCCGGTCTATGGAAAATACTCTATCTCCTCTTGGGGTATAATTCCAGCGCTTGGGATGTTCTCAGAGAGTGCCTGCCGGTTTACTAACATTTACTAAGATTCCAGAGACTTGGTTGGGCTCCTTTGATGGGTCCACCATTTCTTCTAAGAGCTGAGGACACAGAGTTGAATAAGGCACAGTCCCTGTCCTCTAGGTCACAATCTGGTAGTGGACAGTGACAGGAAAAAATATGGTCATTTGCTGTCATCGCTACTAACACATATTGAGGTCATCCAAGATGCCAGATGTGGTCCTCAACCCTTGGCATGAATGGCCTCGTTTTAAGCCCACACTAACTCCATTTAGGTGGTCATTGTGATCATCCTTGTTTGACAGAGTGATCATGAAGACACAGGGAGGTTAAATAATTTGCCCAACGTCACACAGCTAGTAAGTAGCAAAGCATAGGTTTCAACCTGAACAGCCAGATTCCAGATCCCAAACTCTTAACCACTACACACCCTTTGTAAGTGCCTTAGTAACACCTACGTGGCCCAAGTATCAGAAAGAAGTTCTCTTATGATCCTCATAGACATCTGGGCAACTTTTAAGTGGTTCTGGAAAACCACCCAGACAGTGCCAAGAACAGCACCCATGCCATGCTCATGGTGATCCCCCCCCCCCGCCCCGCTGCTTCCTGCATTGGACACGTAGATGGAAAGATTCCGTCAGCTTTCAGCTCTGGGACCTTGTCAGACCCCAAGACTTCATGGCCCAGCCTGTCCTCTGCAGTCCCTACCTGCCCTAATGGTCTCTCCACAGGCCTTCAGAACACTCTGTCCCCCAAGACAAAGGGCGCCCCCGTGCACCTGGGCACCATCGTGGGCATCGTGCTGGCGGTCCTCCTCGTAGCGGCTATCATCCTGGCTGGGATTTACATCAACGGCCACCCCACTTCCAATGCCGCGCTCTTCTTCATTGAGGTCAGTGCGGCCTGTGGCTGCAGGCCTACCGTCATCTTTTGCGTCAGCCTTGCCTGGGCCATCCAGTACCTGCCTGGCCCCACCTCATCCTCCACCAGCCACACACCTGAGAAACCTCCATCGACGCCCATCCTGGCACATCTCACGGTGGTTGGCACCCGTTTAGTCCCCTACCCCTAGGACTCTGCACCCCAGAACTCCCTCAGCCCTCCCGTGTCTGCTTTTGTTCCCTCCCTCCCGGAGGAAACACCGAAGGCCACAAGTGCCACAAATGCCCTTTCAGTGTCTGTACAGCCAGTTCCTATGACCTGTGGTCTCTCATGCCCAAGTCCAGGCTCAGGAATTATTCAAAGCTGTCACGGAACTAAGGCTTCTGCCTCTTTTGCCTGCCGATGTGGGTTATTTAGATTAGAACTGACAAGCCAGAATAATCATGGGGGTTGCTCTCTCTGGGTTGCTACAGCATTGAATGTCACAGAATTCTGCAGAGTGACAATGAGGCCCGGCCCCTGTCACTCAGGACCACAGAGCTCAGCAGGCCCGGCCCCCGCCTTCCTCTCACAGGGTGCTGTGGTGGCACCTCTGTGACCTTAGTCCCCCCGACATGGGTCTTGATCCCACTGGCCTCACTACCCAGAGGCCTCGGTCGTTCTCCCCCACTCTTCTTTTTTTTTTTAACTTTTAAATTTTTTTGTTTTAAAATTGTGGGGTACAATTCAGGGTTAGGTATACAAATATTCATTGTGCAGGTATCCTTGTTGATGAGGTGTGCCCCCCCTTCCCCAGGCAGATTTCCACTACTGTCAATCCCACCTCCCCGCCCCCCCACCCTGCAGTTTCCTTTTTTTTTTTTTTTGAGTTGGAGCCTCACTGTGTCGCCCAGGCTGGAGTGCAGTGGCATGCTCATGGCCAACGCAGCCTCGACCTGCTGGGCTCCGGCGATCCTTTCTCCTCATCCTTCCAAGTAGCTGGAACTACAGGTGTGCGCCTCCATGCCTGGCTAATTTTTTGATTTATTGTAGAGACGGGGTCTCACCAAGTTGCCCAGGCTGGTCTCCAACCCCTGGGCGCAGGCAATCCTCTTGCCTCGGACTCCCAAAGTGCTGGGATTATAGACTTGAACCACTGCACCCAGCCTACTCCCCCTTTTGTTTAGACGATCCTGTTTCTTGTGAGTCCTGGCCATTCTGAAGTCTTAGTCCAACTGAGTAACACCTGGACTGCAGGTCTGCAGATCGTGGGGATACTGGTAGGGCAGGTCTAAGGTGGACCCGGGAATCTGCATTTTAATAAACCACTAGTTTGACTCTGATGCAGACCCTATGCTATCTGGAGGGTTATCTTGGCACATCCAGAGCCTTCCAGATCATTCCAGCCATCTCTGACCCACTCCCTTACTTTGCACAGTCCCAGATCCCTGCTCAGTGTGTTGCTAAAGCCTTCAGTTAAGTTCTTACAGATGATGCAGTGGAGGATAAAATGTCCTCCTTCCAAACTCTGGCTCCCAGAGGGGATCCTTTGGGGAGGGGGGGTCTCAAAGGTCGTTTCGCTCCCCACAGGTCCCCAGGGTTCTTGTAAGGAAGTCTTGGTGCTGTCCTTTGGGGGGTGGGGTCCCCATGAGGGGGACACACCCACTGACTGCCTCTGTGCCCCCTGCCCACAGCGGAGACCTCACCACTGGCCGGCCATGAAGTTCCACAACCACCCCAACCACTCCACCTACACGGAGGTGGAGCCCTCGGGCCACGAGAAGGAAGGCTTCGTGGAGGCTGAGCAGTGCTGAGGACGCCAGGCCTCCCTTCGGAGGGGAGGAAAGAAGGCCTGGGGCCCGCAGAAGAGACAGTTAAAGAGGCCAAGTGGCTTTTCCTGGCCTCTCCCAGGTGCCCTGGGTCGAGAGGATGCTGTGATGGTTTATGGCTGCAGGGCTGCAGCCTCGGCCTCACACCCCAGATACCGGCAAGGGGGCAGAGAAGCGACCACGTGGGCTTTGTAAGGGAACAGTGACCTAATCGCATCCTGTTTCCATGCAAGGGCTCTCCCCTTCAAGATCTCAATGGTCTACACTGTCACAGTCCCTGAGACAGCCAGATGCCCTGCTCCCCATCACCTAAAGCCCCTGCATATGACCCAAATGAACTAAAGTCTAAACCGGGCTGCTGTGTGCCGGGGTCCACAGACTCAAGGGCTGGTCCTCATGGCTGCAGGCAGCATGTCGGCCCTGACTTCGATGGCTAGTCAAGTCTGAAGAAGGTTCTCTCTGTGTGTTCAACACAGGCAGGGCCACTTCTGAGCCTCGGGACATGTCATCATGGGAGGAAAGCCAAACAAGAGTAAAAAACTTGTAGGGAGGGATGGCATCTATAGGTTTTGCACCTGTACCCTGTTCTTTCTGCTCAAAACCAGAAACTTCTGCATTCAAACCTGTGTAGCTGACATCCTGGGCTCCACCATGGCCCACAGCCCAGTCTCCCCCAGGCCCATGCACAGCCCCGGTTACCACGTCGGGCTCCTTATTCCAGAGACATATTTGGTATCCAGTTTATTCACTGGCCCGTTCCTCTGTCAATGCCAATCCATATCTCTAAAGACAGGGCTTGCCCAACTCACATTGTCCTCCCCTGAACTGGATTTTATAACCACTGAAGACAAATGGGGTGACTAGGGAGCTCCTTAGACGCGCTTGCGAGAACTTCAGGGAGATTCTGTTGAGACACAAGGTGCTGGGATATTTGGGACACCAGCAGCTGGCATGCATGGAGATTAGGGACTTTCCACAAGACCTTGACCTGGAAAGTTGCCGCCCTTGACCCAGCTCCACAAGAAGTTTTTGGGACAGGGAGTTTAGGCTCCCAGATTTCACCTGGTTTGAAGAGTATTCTTTCCCAGTGATGAGTTGGAGCTATTTCTGGAAGGGCATTTAAATAGCATCTAAGGTTGGGCGTGGTGGCTCACATTTATAATCCCAGCACTTTGGAAGGCCGAGGTGGAACGATCACTTGAGCCCAAGAGTTCAAGACCAGCCTAGGCAGCACAGTGAGACCTCGTCTCTACAAAATAAAATAAAATAAAATAAAAAACTTAGCCAGGTGTGGTAGCGTGTGCCTATAGTCCCAGCTACTGGGAGGCTTGGTTGGGAGAATCACCTGAACCCATGAAGTCGAGGCTGTGGTGAGCCGTGATCATGCCACTGCACTCCAGCCTGGGCAACAGAGGGAGACCCTGCCTCAAAAAAAAAAAAAAAAAAAAGCCAAAAAAACTAAAGCTCACCCTCATGCAGAATAAAAAAATATATATATATGTATATATATATATCCATGCAAATAAAGGTTAAATCACAGTCTCTACTTAGTCACCCCCTTTCTTGCATGTTGTGAGGAACATTGCCCGAGAAGGAGGTTAGTTTAAGTACAGGGCAGCTGGGGATAGGGGGCTGTCTGCAAATAACCAGACACATCCCAACACTTGGCTGGTCGCTGCATGGTTTGCTTGGGGAGGAAGCTGGTGGTGATCAGCATGCTGGGCCTCGGCTCTGCTTCACAACCAGGGTGGGAAGAGCGGAGTGGGGGAGGCACTGGGGACACAGGATCAGAATTTGAGAAGGAAAGAAAGTGCAGCAAAGAGGGGTGGGTTCTGAGGGCCAGAAAGGCCTGTGCCAGAACTCCCTGAGCGAGACCCGGTCTCCCAGCCCTCCCGCTGTCCTGCAGGGGATGATTTTGCTCTTGCCTGACCAGCAAAGCAACTCTGACCTTCATGTGTCAGGGGCGGTTCCTGCGGTGGCCTAATTCCGTGGACAGCACCATGTGTCCCACTCCCAGACGCCAGTCACTTCTTCCCACTGGGAGCTCGGCCAGCCGTTATGGATTCCTGAAGGGAAAGGAAGTCGGGAGCGAGAAAGGGGCGGTGGTGCACAGAGGCCTCTGCAGCTAACCGCTGCAGGTGGAGAAAGAAGATTCCAGACGCCTCGGCGGCGTTCCAGCAAGCCTGGTGGGCCTCTGGGATGTCAGCAGCACGGGGCTTGGGGGCGTCTGGCGGTCAGGCAGCCTGCTCGTTTACAACCAAGAGAAGAAGAGAGGCATTAGGAGAGGTCTCTGGATTCCTCAAGTCAACATGCTTAGACCAGGTCTTCCCAGAAATAGAACCGAGGAGCTCCCGGAGTTCATGTCATCCCCGACTACCCTTCAGGTCCCTGACAAGAGAAGCATTTCTCAGACAGACCAGTTGTACTCCAGGCTAGAGCAGTTGTTAGCTGGGTAGCTATGGAGAGGGACTTGCTCTGAGAGTGGGTGACCGGGTGGAGACACAGGACTTGTGGCCAATGCTCTGAGTTTGGCTGACGGTCTAGTGAGGCAGGGTGGTACTTCACATGCTGCGGACGGCCCACCACGGGCCTCTGCACCCACAGGCACATCCAGGCTCCATAGGAAGCAGATGGCTGGCAAGTGCCAGCCCCCACATGGTGTCTGTGAGTACCCTTGCGGGGGAGGAGGCCCATCCCTCAACAGGAAGCGTCAGTCCTGTGAAGGAGGACTCTGGGGAGTATTCTGAGTTGAGCAGAGAGACCACAAGCTCTCAGGAAGGCTCTGTTCTGTACCGGAACTCTCACGAGAGCTTATTTAAAAACAGGAACATGAAAAAGAATGCAGGGATGAACATGAGAGGGACCCCCAGACCAGACCATGAGCACAACCTTGTTTTTCTTGAATTGGCCACTCCTACATTTGTGGACGTATCCAGCAAGGTCCCTGGGGTTTCTGATCCTAGACACAAGTGCACGTGAGCCCAGTCATCAACCCCAGCATCCGGGGATGCCTTAGATAGAGCAAATGGGCTTCCCAAGCTTGACTGACCAGCCACCTCCCTTCGGCCATACCCAGGCGCAATTCATTCACCCCAGCAGGCCCCATGACTCTGGAGGTCACGTCAGGTCTCAGCCTGAAGCCTGAGTTTGAAAATGTCCTTTGGTCGCTATTAAAGGTTCTTGATGGACCTATAAATCAAATTTTAAGAATTCATGTGTTTTATCAGGGTTCCCCTATCTAGTGTATTTCTCTGTGTGTGTCACACACACACACTTTATTACCGAAAACATTGGACAAGACCGTAGCTGTGCTCAGCCTTCAACTTGGTTTGTTAAATTAGGATAGTGGCAAAAGCTGTCAGCCAACCACACTGTCCAAAAAAGCAGAATGTCCACCACTTGAGCTGACCATTCATCTGGTTTCAGGCAAGGCTAAAAGGCTCTCTTCTCCAGATCCTGAAACAGACTCACAGATTGGCATGAAGCGTTGATCAGGGCTGTACCCAGACTCCCTGGTCATGAGAACCTGCACCAGAAGAGTCAGTGTCAGAGTAAAATGCAGCTGATCTCTCTCCTTCTCTCTCTCTCTCTCTCTCTGTGTGTCTCTCTTTCTCTCTCTCTATCTTGCTGTCTCTGTCTCTCTTTGTGCCTCTCCCTCTCTCTGTATCTCTCTAAACAAAAACCTACCCGCACGATTAGAAAGATCTGGGGCTTGAGGGCACCCTAGCAGCTCTAAACACAACGTATTCACGTATTTAGTGTGAATTTCCTGCGTGGATTCTCAGTATTCACAATAAAGGGAAACATTCTTTGACAACTTCTGCTGTGTGCAAAACGAAGTGCAAAGGATTTGGGTGGCATTGTGCACATAGCCACACACACCTGCTCAGCTCCGACGTCTGCACTGAGGACATGTCCCTGCGAGCCTAGAAGGCTCCAGCCCCTGCACTTTTCCCAACCTCCAACTCCCCTCCAAGAGGAACAAACTGGAATGAAACCCCAGCTGTTTACTTGTATTGGGTTTGTAAATCCCTGGAAATCAACCTCATGCATTTTTAATCTAGAGACACTGAGTCAATCTGAGTAAGTGGATGTGTCACCTTTCTGGATGCTTTGCATCTGAACAGCTTCAGCAGCCTCATTGTGTTTTTATTACTTTGCGGCTTGGTTCACAAAACACGGTCTAGCAAACCAAAACAAAGAGAGGAAAAATCTGAACTCCTCACAGCCAAAATCAGTGATGCCAAATCTCAGGCAAACAAACAAGTCGATCTCTAAATAAACATGCTTGTTGGCCAGATGGTAAGGAATGTGTTGGAAAGGCAGTGTGGACTGATGGAGGAGGTGCTGAGCTGTGCAGGGAGTCAGAAGGCGGGAGCCTAGCGTCAGTCTCGCCCTGAGTAGCTGTGTGGTGTGGGCTGAGGTGCCAGACTTCTCTGGGTCCGACCCTGCCACTGTAAAACAGGAGGCACTAGCTTCATGGGTCTAACGTGCGACTTAGCAAACAGCCTTGCCTGGTTTCGCTTTTTGTTTTCAGTTCACACAGCAGCTTGGACCAAAGTGTCCCTTCCTCTTTCATTATCCTGATAGGTGACCTAATTGTTCTAGTCTGTCTGGGACTTTCCTGGTTCTAATGCTGGAAGGCCTGCATCCCAGGAAGCCTCCTCAGTCCTGGGGACCCTGGGACATTTGGTCACTCTACCCTGGTAGCAACCCTCCCAGCCCATTGACTGAAGAAATAATGTTCGTGATTTCATATTAATGATATCTCCAAATTAATAATAACTTGAGGCCTGGCGCAGTGACTCACACCTGTAATCCCAACACTTTGGGAGGCCAAGGCTGGAGGACTGCTTGAGTCCAGGAGTTCAGACAAGCCTGGGCTTGTGAGACCTCGTGTCCAAAAAAAAAGATTAAAAATTAGCCAGGCGAGGTGGTGCCTGTCTGTAGTCTCAGCTACTCAGGAGGCTGAGGCAGAAGGATTGCCTGAGACTGGGAGGTTGAGGCTGTGGTGTGCTGTGATAGTGCCACTGTACTCCAGCCTGGGTGACAGAATGAGACCCTGAGTCATAATAATAATAATAATAACAACTTGGAGTGCACTTTGGAGTCTAGCACCTTGCCATTCAAGTGTGGTCCAGACAGGCAGCATTAGCCTCCCCGGGGCTGGTTGGCTGTGCAGCACTGAGGCCCACCCACCATAGACCTACTGAGCCAGAGTCTCAGCCAGAGCACCCCAGGGGGTTCATGGGAAGTGCACGAACATCTGAGAAACACTATCTAGGAAACAATTCTCAGCCTGTTGGGGAGTCTTCGCTCCCCTATTTCCCAAATGAGGAAACTGAGGCTCAGAAAGGCTGTTTACTTGCTTATTCATGCATTTGATTCATGAAACACTTACTGTGTGCCAGGCACCACGGTGTGACTTGCCCGAGGTAAGCAGAGACAGTTGCCCAAGGTCAGGGCTTCCAATTCCCAGCCCACGATGTTCTCTGTGTACTTCAGGGCCGTGTCAGAACCACGTGGCCACAGTTGACCATAGAAGGGGATTGTGGATTACAACAGGATCCTCCAGGCCTGCGGAGATCTTCCCAAAGACGCACAGTGACAACTTCCAAGCCCTACTCTTGGCTCATGAAACTGTGAGCTTATCATCCACTTCTTTCCACCGCCCCAAGGGCTCGAGAGAGCGCTAAACTGTTGCTGCCAACTTCTCTTCCCTGACGCCCACGACAGCGATCCTCCCACCAGCTCCGCCGACTGCCAGGGCCATGCCTCCACACCATTTCTCTTCTTGAATGCAGGGCAATGGATTACTTCCTTCGCCAAGACGGGGCTGTCGACACAGGGAAGGGAGGAAGATTCCCTACTTGAACTGCTAAAACCAAAGAGAAATTTGTTGGGTGTGGGGGTGACTCTTCTGATGTTTAGAAAACATTTTTACGTTTGGTCCTTAGAGACAGGTAAACTACGTCTGTGGTTTTTCCACAAAGCTAAAAGCACTGAAGGAAAAAAAAAAAACATGAATACGGGCCAATAAAATTTCATCATACGTTCCCAAAGACTTGGGTTAGAACCTTCCCCCCCAGCTTCAGTCTCTCCTCTTCAAAGTTTTCTGTTGAGACGTGGACTGTCTCCCCCGTGAGACCTGATGGAGTGTCCAAAAGGTATAAGGCTCACTGGATCCA